ACAAAAGAGCACAAGCTTCAGTGTGTGGCTTGTTTTTTCCCCATTAAAAATGATGGTTAAATAAATAATGTTTAAAAGTATTTGAGAAAATGATGGGAAATTTGAGAAAATAGAAGGAAAGTATAAATGAGGACAAATTTGTAAAAGGTTAAAACTGTTATTTCTCAGTTTATGTATCAATTAAGCAAAAAAAAACAAAAACCAAGAAAAAGTGACACAGCTTTCCTTTAACAGGTCGAGACAATAATATCATTTTCAATAAGGGCAAATTGGTCCAGTCACTTTTATATTTTACAATCAAATAAATATTCTTTTCACCAACTTTATATAATATACTTGTGGTTATAATCACCTTTTATGTACCACACTAAAATTTGAAATAGACTTTACATTACAACAATGCAAATATAAAAAATCTATCGAATTATAGCAAAACCATCTGAATAAAAAAAAAATAACAATTGGTAGGTTATTCAAAGTATAAGGTCCAAATAGGAAATTCTGAAATTACAATGCCATAATATGGAAGTTTTTTTCAAGTGTAATGCCTTGATAAGAAACTTCTTTGCAAGTATAATGTGGTAATAAAATGACATGAAAGTAGAATGTTATAATACATATATAAAATTACGTTGTCATTTCTTAAATTTTTCCATTAATAAAATAGAATATAGTATTATTTAAAGAAAGTTAAAACACAAACTAGCTCACTTGTCACAGAAGGATGCCAAAAGAAAAAGGAATACAAACATTTATTCTAGTATGAAGATAGTGGAAGACATAAAAAATTGCTCATATGCCAAAAAAAATGTTTATGTAGTTCAAAAAAAAGAGAATAATAAAGATATTTATTCTATGACAATGAATGTGAAAGACTTAACATCAAATTATTCTACCCAAATATAGCAATCACATCAAAATACAAACACATTTCCACTACTAAGAAATTTATATTAAATATAGTGTTGTAATAAAAAGAATTGAAAGTAGTAATGTATAATACACAACCAAATGAAAGTAGTTTACTATTTCTTGAGTTTTTCCTTTATGAAAATAGGATATGTTATTACTTTAAGAAAGTTAAAACACAAAGTAGCTCATTGATGTAGTTTACATGAAGGAATTTTTCATTAGTATAAGAGAGAATTTAAAGTACAAGGCTATAATTGATTTTTCAAAAGTTGTAGAAGAAATAAATCAAGTAATAAACTATCATAAATCATATAAACCAATTGTAGCTTTTTTTCTAAATATAACTTTAGTACACAAATAAAAGAAAAAATGCGTTGCTACTTCATCCTTTATTTTAAAGTAGAGTGCCTTAACAATAAACGTTTTTTTTTTCTAAATACAACTTTGTAATAGAAAGAAGTGGAGTAGTATGCTTTAGTACACAAATAAATGAAAAAGTACATTGCTACTTCTTGAAATTTCCTTTATAAAATTTAAAATATACCATTGTTTAAATGGAGCTACACTACAAACAAGCTCATACGACAAAATAAGATGTCGATATAATTCTTTTTAAAAAAGAAAGAAAAATGCAAACATTTATTCTAGAGCAGAGACAATGAGAGACTTACCATCAATTATTCCTCCACATGGAATCCAAACCTCGGAATCACTTATTCCTATTCCAAAGCTTCACTTTCTTGTTCTCTCTATATAAAGAGTAAATACCCTCTTTCAAGATAATGAGAAGAAGAAAATCCAAATCCAATATGGATGACAAGTTCACAAACGACATCATGGAAGAATGGGAAATGGACGATGACATGGCATTTGTAGATGATGGGCGGAAGACGACGGCAATGGGTGGAAAGAGGGGTTCCGGTAGTGGTGGGCCCACACAACCGGTTTGCCAGGTGGCGAACTGCACAACCGATATGACAAGATCCAAAGCATATCACCGGAGGCATAAAGTATGTGAAGTTCATGCAAAGGCTCCGGTTGTTGTTATTGGTGGACTTCAACAACGATTTTGTCAACAGTGCAGCAGGTAAACAAACTCTTGAGTTGTTGTGTTGTTTTCTTTTTAACTTAATGGACTTAATGGGTTAAGCACTTAAAGGGTTGTTTCTTTTTGACTTAACAAATTTATAATGACTTAATGGGTTAAGTGAGAGAAGTTGGCTTTTATCTATAGAATTCCATGAAGTTTTATTGTTTAAATTTGTTGATTTCTCGTAATTTTTTGTTTCAAAGTGGTTGAATACGTTTGATATGTTGCAAATTTATTGTATAAACTTGTTAAATATGTTAAATAGAATGAACGTTTGAGAAGGGTATAATGGTCATTTACTCTTATTCAAACGTTTTATTCACTATAAAAAATATATAATCTTTGTTCATACGTCCAAGCGATAGAATTCCAGGAAGTTTATTGTTTAAATTTGATGATTTCTCACATTTTTTTGTTTCAAAGTAGCTTACTATGTTTATTATGTTGCAAATTTATTGTATAAACTTGTTACATACGTTAAATAGAATGAAACGTTTGAGAAGGGTATAATGGTCATTTACTCTTATTCAAACGTTTTATTCACTACAAAAAAGACAAAATCTTTGTTCATATGTAACTTTATCCAAGACATCATTTGTCTATTTAACCACTTTATCCACAAAAAAAAAAAAAAAAAAGTGTTTTTAAAAACTATTTAAAAAATGACAACAAAAACGGAAATTGAAGGAAAAAGTACATGAGTGAATATTTGTAAAATAACAAAAAGTTTGGACTTAATGGAAAACCTTTCCTAATATATATTCAATCTGATAAGTTGTATAAGGGTGTTGATGTCTTTACGCATAATACGAAAACTTATTCCATTCCTATTTCCTACATGGAAACCAAACATGATCATGGAATGGAATGACTGATTCCGATGTGTTTTTCAGGTTTCATGACTTAATGGAATTTGATGATGCGAAAAGGAGTTGTCGCAGGCGATTGGCGGGACATAATGAACGAAGGCGTAAAAGCTCCTATGAATCTTATGGAGAAAGTTCCGGATGATGAATAAATTTAAAAAATTAATAAATAAAAAAACAAAGGATAAAAAACTCTCCAAGGAAGCATAATCAATTACCAAACTCGTTTCAAATAAGATAATAACTATATTGAGTAACATGCTCTCTATCTTCTGTCAATCCTATTGGACTATGCTATCTTAAGGGTATTTATGTCTTTATCCACTAGAGCTTTATCTATTTTAAATTCATGGGGTTGCTAATAAAGTAAACATGGCTTACATGTTTTTACATTATCTAGGATGGATTAAATGCAAGAAAGAGCAACATACTTTCATTGGTTTGTTTTTAGCAAGAAGACAAAGATACTTTTAGAGATATATATGCTTTGAATGTTCTATTGATGATTTAAAATGAAAGAGGCCTCTACTTTATAAAGGAATCTCCACAACAAACAATTTAATAGAATCTGTATTAAAATATATAAAAAATGGTTACATGAAGTTGTTAAGTTTTACAACAATATTATTAAGAGTTTATTAAAAGAAATAATCCCAAAATATATGCAATGAGTAGATTTATGAATGATATTAAGGAATTTAGTTAGTTATGAGAAAAAGATACATACCATAATCTCCTACAAGGTCTTGACACCCGATAAAGCTTTCACTTCTATTTTCCCCTCTCATTTCATTAAAAAAAATGAGCTAAAACTACATGCTTTTCATCAATCCTATACAACTTTTATAAAATTCTACTTTCATTTTATACTTTGAAAATTCTACCCAATTATAGCAATGTCATTGGAATACAAAGCAATTTTCATTGATACAATATGAAAAGAAACTGAAAGTACAATGTCATAATTGGGTAAATTTTAAAAAGTATTAAGCTTTAACTAGAAAAAAGATGGAAGTTTTATGTTTTAATAGAAAGAAATGAAAGTAAGATGCTATAATACACAAACATATCAAAGTAATTTACTATTTCTTGCAATTAATCCTTATAATATTGGGCACCATATGAATTATAAAGATAAGAAGTTACTTTCCTATGCATTTCTAAAAGATTATGAAGATAAATGTTCTATGTAATGTTATCTGTTCATTTTAATATTCAGATTCAATTTTTTACTTCCATATAAAGATGTAATGATCCAACAAGATGCACAAAATTCTTGAACCATAACTATACAGCATAACTGCATGCTTAAGCATTTGGTATTTATGCAAGAAATAGCAAAGTAGCTTCAGTTAGTTGTGTATTATATTATCTTACTTTCATTTCTTTCTATTGCAGCATTTTACTCACTTATTTTTCTTATTAAGACATTGTGTACTTTGAAAATCTACACATTTATAGCATTATACTTCCTTTTATTTTCTTATTAAGACATTAATACTTTAAAAATCTAGCTATTTATAGCAGTTGTAATTGGATGGTATTACTATAATAAGTATATTTTTCAAAGTACAATATTGTTAATTTGTTATAGAAAGAAACGAAAACACAATGCTATAATAAACAACTCAATGAAAGTAGGATGTTATAACAAGCATAAATAAATGAAATTACATTACTATTTCTTGCATTTAACCCTTCAAATAGAGTAAATTACACGAATGGTCCCTATGGTTTGGGGTAATTTGCACGTTTGGTCTCTAACTTATTTTTTTAACTCAGAAGGTCCCTACTGTTTGTTTTTGTTGCGCGCTTGGTCCTTATCTTACCTAAAAAGACTATTTTGCCCTTGATTTTTTAATTTTTTTAAATAAGGTGAGGTGGAAGTGGTGTAGGGGGGTGTGTTTATTTAAAAAAAATTAAAAAATAAAGGGAAAAATAGTCTTTTTAAGTAAGACAGGGACCAAGCGCAACAAAAAACAAACACTAGGGATCTTCCAAGTTAAAAAAGTAAGTTAGGGACCAAACGTGAAAATTACCCCAAACCATAGGGACCATTTGTGTAATTTACTCTAACAAATATTCCTTTAGAGATGTTAGCCACAAAAAAAAAGATGGAATTTAAGCCTATCAATCATTGACCTCTTTAAATCATATGAATGTGCAATGCCTTCAAGCAGACATCTAAATCAGAATCCCTCCTTAAAATCTATAAATAAATAAAAGAAACAATAAAAAGTAGATAGAGAATAAAAGATATGTGAAAAACCTTGTGTAAAAATGTTGATGAATAAAACATCATCAAAGTGGAGAAAGTAGGTTGCTATTTCTTGCATTTATCAATCACGTGTGATTCCAAGTAGTTTTGAAGCTGCTTCAAATGTAACTATTGCAGCAGCATTAGCAGGAAAGGCACGTGAAACTGTGGGACCCAACCCTGTGTAGCATCCTCTCACCCCAGACCTCCTGTAAATCTATCATAATAAACATTTTACAAATTTGCCCTCGTTTATTGTCATCCAAATACAAGTCAATTTTCACTGCTTTAGTTGGATAGATTTTCAAAGTAAAATGTCATAATAAAAACAAGGGTTAAGTTAATCTCATAAAAGACTTTATATTTTGTTTTTTTCTGGATTAAACCTCAAGGTTTTTTTTTTCCTGAAAAAGACCTTGTATTTTTTTCATTTTTTTTAGATCTGGCCCTTTTAGTCATTTTTTCCAAAAAAAAGTTGTAAAATGTGAGGGTTTTTTTTGGGAAAAACTAAAAAAAGTTGAGGGTTTATTTGGAAGCATTTAGAAGGTTGAGGGTTTTTTCGGAAAATAAAAAAGAAATTTGAGGGTTTTTTTTGGAAAAATTGAAAAAATACAAGGTCTTTTTCAGGCAAAAAATAAACTTGGGTTTAATTCAGAAAAAACACAAAATATAAGGTCTTTTATGAGATTAGCCCTATAAAGAAAACATACAGTACAATATTGGGTAGGATTATATTCCTTAATATGAAACAAAGAAGAAAACTGTAATGTTTTGTGCAAAGGGCAAAAAAGTAATTTACATTTAAATCTTACCGATCTCAACAACACGAAAGGATTTTTAGTTAAGTTCTTGTCAGGGGTAGTTTGAATTATTGTTTTTGCAACATCCAGCGGAAGAACAGCAGACCAGAACTGAAAACAAAAAGGGAAAAAGTCAAAAACATAAATTAGAAGATCAAAGGGCAAAAAAGTCATTTACACTCCGTTTGTCACACAGGACAAGACACCACACCTATACAGTATTTGGATAGAATGGAACTGGGACAAAAATTGCAACTTTTTGTCCAACCTAAAAAGGTGGGACAGGGACTCGCTCTCGATCTCTTGTAAAAAAGACGTAAATACCCTCATCCTTCATCATAAAAAATAGCCCTAGAAAGCTTGTGCAGTCTGGTGTAACAAATGCAGCCTTAAGACTGCATTTGATACACGGGACAATACCTGGCAAGCTTTCTAGGGCTATTTTTGATGATGAGGAGGATGAGGGTATTTACGTCTTTTTCACAAGAGATCGAGAGTGAGTTCCTGTCCCACCTTTTTAGGTTGGACAAAAAGTTGCAATTTTTGTCCCAGTTCCATTCTATCCAAATATTGTATAGGTGTGGTGTCTTGTCCTGTGTGACAAACAGAGTGTAAATGACTTTTTTGCCCTTTGATCGTCTAATTTATGTTTTTTAATGATTAGATTTTGATGATGTTACATACCGCGATACCACTAAGACCACCACTAATGATCCCAATCCCTACATCCATCAAATTTGTGTGATCAATCAAAGAATCTTTAAGTCTTAAATGCATAGAATGCCTCAAATACTCATAAGTACTAAAAAACACAGCATTTCCAATAGCTTCTCGCATCAAAGTCGTCACACCTCCTCTAAAAAGCCCACTAACCTGAAAAACAACAATCAAACATTATTACTTCAGTATTCCCAAAATCTCTCATTTGTAAAAAAGACGAAAACGCCCTCCTCAAGCATTCTCACCCCTTCGGTTTTTACAGTTTGAATCGCACAATTAAGAGGACCACTGTATTTGCGTGAGGTTGGAACCAGAGAATCAGTACCTTGAATTTGCATCCTACACTGGAGACACTGTGTCAAAAGAATATAGAAAGAAAGAATCATAGAGAATGAGTTTAAAATTTTATGAATTTTTTACCTTTACTAACTCTGATGGACATAATATGAAGCTGATAATGGATCCAGCAAAAGCAGCTGAAGGGATTATTATATGGGATTCAGGCTTTCTGTTATGATCTCCTCCCTTAAATAAGAAAAATGTTTTAAGTTAAATATAAAGATGATAATTTTGAGAAACTATGAAGCTGATTATTGTTTGAAGACCTGTAATGCTTGCTTTGTTTGGGAATAAATACCAAAAAGAAGTGAACTTTCAAAAGCCATTCCAACAAAAGATGGTGTTGCACCTCTGTAAAGTCCTTTTATCTGTGAAAGATAAAGCAAAAAATATAAATATCTATTTAAGTAAATGGTTTTAAAAAGATGTGACATAAGATTTTGAGAGATATACTCCTTCAGTCTTGAGTATTCTAGTTGTACAATGAAATCCACTTCTGTATTTGAATCCATTAGCATCAGTATTGTGTTTCTGAAGCTTCACCTGACAACATGAAGATATCATATCAATCCATCTATTTCTCTACCAAAGTCAGTTTGTTTCCATCATGCACAGAGAGAATGTGCATCGACACTCATGAATGTTTCATAAAAAGAATTATGGTGGTTTGTTGGGAACTTAGCGATGAAAAGCGAATGTCGTTTATTCTTCTAATTCGCAAGTTCAAATGATTCAAAATGGGGTTTTGTTTCTGTAGAAATCGAGTTCTTGTTTGGAAAATAAAGTCAATAAATACTGGGAATAAGATTCGAACTAACCTTCACAGTGTCAAAAGGATGCCCCACGATCACCATTGAAACACCTGAGATCAATCCTGCTACATAATGCTTGTAACCTGAATTCTGCTCTCCCATCACTCACTCTCTCGCACTCTATATCTAAAAAATGTTTTTTCTCTCTCTATACGCATATGCATATATATAATCACTGAAAAACCCTCGTCGCCGCCAAACGAGGGGATTGTAATCTTCAACCTTCTAAATTGTAAATCGAGAAGAACAATCCGAAATATATAAAGAAAACTCTTAAATGGTAACGAATTTCACATTTTCCTGATTCGAGATCCAAATGCGTCACTTCTCGGTGAAATCGTTCGGTTTCCGATGGATCTAATCTCTTCTTCTTTGAGATGTGAAATGGGCATATCTGACACTCTTCCAAACTTGTTCCCTTCAGATTTTGGTATTTGTCTTTTATGTCGTTTGTTGTTATATTATATGGATTAATTTTAAAAAATAAATAAATATGAATATCAAAATATTTAGAAACAAAAATAATAATGAATTATTATAATAATAATATTTTTTATCTTTTAAATTTAAATAAATAAAAAAATACTAACGATTTTTAATTTTTAAAATTTAAAAATTAAAAAGTAAATTTTATTAATGAAATTGATATCCATTTATTATTATATTTACCGTAATTATTACATTAAAATATTATGTATAATTCAATAAAATAAAAACTCATAAAATCTTATGTGGAAAAAAAAATCAAAATAACCACAAAATGATATTTGACAAATTGAATAAGAATGTGACAAATTGCAAAAAAAAAAAAAAAAAAAAAAAAAAAAAAAAAAAAAAAAAACGTTCATTTATTTGAAAGGATTCACTGATTTTTTGTTAAATTGGCTTTTTAACATATTCATATTCGTAGAAAACCAAAAACCAAATATGCTTTGGTTTATTCGTTTTGGGTTATTTGATTTCGGTTTATCAATTACTCCAAATAAAAACAACTCGAATATAGGTTTACAAGTTAAAACAATTAATCAATATAAGCAAACTAGAAATAACAATTCCATTACAAGCTTGAAAGGCAATGTCGTACTCGTAATATTAACAAAATAAATACAAAATAATAAATGCTGTTAAATGCTTATGATTTTGTCAAGTTATGGTATCGTGAGCATTTGGATATGTTGATCGGATCGAACCGGTAGACCGGATCAAATCAAACCCAACCTTGGACCCTTTTAGACTCACTGACCGGTTCTATTTCTTGGTTTTAGGAATTCATCAAAATTAGTCCCCTTTTTTTATCGACTCAGTGCGGCTGGTTCTAGGTAAAAACCAGTTTTTGACCGCATTATTTTAAAAAAATCTTTAAACAAGCATATCTCATTCGTTTTAAGTCGAATTGATATACAATTTTTACAACGTGTAATTTAGAGTTTGTATATGATTTTAAACTATAATTTTATCGTTTTTAGTGTTATATTCAATAAATTACAATCCTTCAAAGTTGGGATATCAAAGATGAAATATTTCATTTTTCAACTATAATCATAAACGTTTGTATTATATGAAAAAAAAATTTTAAAAATATATCTCGTTCGTCTTAAGTCGAATTGACATAGGGTTTTTTCCAACGTGTAGTTTAGAGTTTGTATATGATTTTAGACCATAATTTTGTCATTTTTGTATTATATTCAATGAATTACAATCTTTTAAGGTTAGGATATCATAGCTGAAATATTTCAGCTTTCCAGTCATAATTTTAAACTTTTGTATTCTGTAAAAATCTTTAAACAATCACATCTCATTCATTTTAAGACAGATTGGTATATAGTTTTTTCAAACATGTAATTTAGAGTTTGTATATGATTTTAAACTATAATTTTATCATTTCGGTGTTATATTCAACAAACTACAATCCTTCAAAGTTAAGATATCAAAACTAATAATTTCCAGGTATTTTTATACTATAATTCTGAATTTTATGTATCTTTGACAGATAAATAATATAAAAGGGATCTTATTAGAGTATCGAAAAATTATCACTTAGAAATGGTAACAGATATAGTGACGTTCTTTGAAAAATTTAAGGCAAAAACAGAGATTGTTTCGGCAACATCAAAACCTTTTGTAAAATTCAATACATACATCTAAGAAGTTGGCCAACCAAACAAATGTTTCTCGAAATGGTAAAGGACATGAAAATGATATGCAATAAGTATTAGCGTGCCTACAACAAGATGAACGATTTTATGTACTTTGTTGTTTTATAATCTTTGTTCTATTTTGATACAGTTATTGCTTTTTTATTAAAGACTAACAACATTATCATTTTGTGTTTATGTAGAGATTACACAAGCTTTGTAACACCTCAAATTTCAAACTAAACTTTTCATTTTTAAATTACCTAAAATATTGTTCATAAACTAAATCATCTAAAAATGCAAGTATCAAATACAAATCATCATCACAAAATATCAAAGTGTCACAAAATTCCCAGTAACTAATCTCCCAATGAGTGTGTACAATCAGACCTTTGGCTTCCCGTGATCCTTAAAAGTACATGGAACACATATAATCAACAGTTGTAAGTACGAATCTTAGTGAGTTCCCCAAGATATGTCATACAGCACAACACATAAACAGTTATGGGTTATCAGCAACCCTGGAGACTACACAATGTCTTAGTGGGTGAACAACATGTCGTGTAGGTTATCAGCAACCCTGGAGACTACTCGCAGTCTCAATCACACATAAACAACATAACACAATAATAACAGTTAGACCCAGCTGGTCATCACAAATAAAGTTATTCTAACACACATGTAAGAATAAGTGAGGAGACTCACCTAATACTGATGATAGATAAATCTCACACACGAACTGATGGAACTAGACCCTGCCTAATAAACACAACAAGTAACCCTAATCAATTAAGGTATATAACCCGACTCACAAGTCTAATCATACAACTACGCCCCTAAATGGCAAAATAACCACTTTTCACTTCCATGGTCCAAAACTCTAAATCTTTTGACCAAAGTCAAAAGTCAGCAAAAGTCAACAAGCCCACACTCTCGTCCGTACGCGGGGCGTACATCTTCTTACACGAGGCGTACATCTTCCTATACGGGACGTACAATTCAAGTCAGTGATCAACGGGGATGTACCTAGCTACGCGGGGCGTAGATAGGAGTACGCCCAACATACTCTGCCTAGTCCATATTCCACAACTTTTATGTCTTAATCTGTAATGACCCAAAAATCCAAGGTAATTTTTTTTCATTTTTAAAAATATAAATCATACAAACGAGTTGTTCCAAAATGGATCAAAGTGAATATATCATTTAAACATTAGAGTAATATCATTAATTGCCAATGTGGAAAACTTTGGGAGATATTGTGCAGTCACGTCGGGCCCTTCCTTTTCGAACAGGAAGTACTTGAAACCATAGATATGAAACTATAAGCACAAAGCTTAGTGAGTTTCCCCAACGTACCACATACACAAAAACATACAAGTGTCATGGGCTACCCCCATGGTCATTGCTCGCAATGCCGAGGGCCAAATCTCGATCTAACATACGAGTGCCATGGGTTACCCCGATGGTCTTTCCTTGTGATGTCGAGGGCCAAATCCTGGTCTTACACACAAGTGTCATGGGCGACCCCCATGGTCTTTCATACAATTATTACAAATACAATAAACATTCCACATAACAAGAAATAGGTCGCCATTGGTGCCTTCGACACATGGATATGGTAAGAAAACTCATCTCACAATCTGAAAGAATATATGCACCTATCACTTCTCTAAAAGTTATCTCTACCGATCACATATACAATTAACAGGAACCCAACTCTTAAACTATAAATCAAATTACCCAAATTCCCTTGGGTCAAACTTGGTTATCCCTAGTCAAAGTCAAAGTCAACGGTCAAGGTTCAAAAGTCAATATTTCTTCCCAACGGAGTACGCCCAACATACTCTAATGTTGACCAAAAGTGGGGCGTTGGCCATGTACACGCATCGTACCACCAGGTACACCCATCGTACGCAACACAATCCCAAAGCTCTATTAAGAGATTATTATATTAATTCCTTACATCCAAAACTTAGATCCAAGCCCAAAATAATGTCCTAAGTCATAAATTTTTCAACTTTATGACTTTGCATGGCTATACAGTGCTTAATGACCAAAACCCTAAGTTCTTAACTGAATAAGACATCACAACTATTGCATGGAAGGGCCAAGATCGCATTTTTATGGCTCATAATAGTTCTATAATGGATAACGTTTCCAAATTTATCCATTAGAATGGTCTAAATAAATAAGATCTAGTCTTTAAGTCTCAAAGGGACCCAAAAGTGCATCTTTTTCAACTTAATCCATTAAGTCCAAATCTCTAACCTTCAAATCTAAATCGAAATGATGTTTAATGGGATACAGTTTCCAACTTTATCCATAACAAGGTCACAAACTGTAACATCCCGACTCCCATGTATAAATTTAAATTGTTTTTATGCATTTTAACAGGGCAACTCGACAAGTTGGAGGTCACAACTCATCGAGTAGAGACCGAGATGGTCGCTTGAATTTTAGAATCAACTCGACAAGTTGGAGGACCCCAACTCGACGAGTAGGAGTTGAGTGTGAAAACCCTAATTTTCAGGGTTTGCACCCTATCTAAAGGACCTTAAGCCCTACATTCGGCCTCCCTTATCACCTTAGCATCCCCGAGAGAAACCCTAAACGAGTTGTTATCATCTGTGTGTGTGTGTGTGTGTGAGAGAGAGAGAGAGGGGCTAAGAGTGTGTGTTTTGGTGCATTCTTTGAACGATATTAAGGAGCAAAAGGATTGGAACGAGAAGGAGTCTGTGGATCTGGCATTCATTTAATGTTAAGAGCCATTTGGAGGTAAAAAGGCGCTATCTTGATCACTTGTTTGTTAGATCTCCCCATTAGAGAGTTTATGGCAATTTTAGCATTTCCCTTGGGTCCTTATTGTCTTTGAGCTTATCCAGAAGCTAAGACTTCATATTTGGATGTTATTAGGCCCTCTAGGCTTAAAAATTTGAGCTTTATTCAGTTTTGTCCAACTTCCATGCCTTAAACCCTAGTGGAGCTTGGTTTGTTGGTATATTTAGCCCTAGATGCCATGCATGGATGTAAAGCTTGCAGCTTTACATGATACTTCAGTCTTAGAAGGGTAGATCTAGAGTTTGGGACCTTAGTCTTGCTTAAAAACATCTGAATAGAATGGATTGAGGGAACTCGACGAGTTGGTGAGTAAACTCAATGAGTTGGTTAGGGTTTTCCCCATTGTTCTGGACACTGTGAAAACTCGACGATTTGGTAAGACAATTCGACGAGTTGAGTTAGATTTTCCTGAGTTTTCTGAGAACAGAAGGAACTCCACGAGTCGCATAGATGCAATCAACGAGTTTGGTCAACATGAACTGTTGACTTGAG